AAGCAAAAGCTATTGTATTAAATCAAACGTGCTGAATAAGAAACACCTAACGTTGTTTATATAGTCGTTTTTAAGACACAAACCGTCTTAGAAAAGGACTATAGAAAAGCAAAACCTAAATAGAAAAGGAAATTCAAATTGAACAGAAAATTAGGAAAGATGCTATGTTGCCGCCTAGTTAGTAGTAGCTCCTGCATCACATCGGAGCCATAGCTGGACCATGGTCGTGTCCGTCGTGTGACTCGGCAGTCATGACCAACACGGCCAAGACAATGCAGACAAAGGAGAAACGGATCAAAGAACTTCTCGCAGCCATTTGAGTTCTTCTTATTTGTTTCTTTCTTTGTTTTTTATTTCTCTGTGGGATTTATTCAGCAAATGGGATATTGAATTTATAGAGAGAGGGGCTCTAAAAGTCAACGCATAAGAATGAGCCTTGCTGTTGAGACGATCATTACCATTACATGTTGTTCCGCTTTGACATTTATTAAAAATTGCAAGACAGAGACGTGAACATGGTGATGTGTCTGAATTTGTTAGTGGGCACCCATTTATGTATGTTCGTGTATGTTCTGGAACAGGTATTACTTATTGGTCACCACGAGGGACGTGTCTTGACCAAACCAAATTGCTCCGGTTTGATTAGGGATCCATTCTAGATCAACTTGGTTCTGTTAAACTTCAACCAAATATAAATATTATTGTATGTAAAAAGACTAGTCAGAATAACAGAATGTTCATATATAATTTGAAGAAACAAAATTTTGTAGTACAAATTAACGTTAACGACCAGTTGATATATGGAGAAGGGTAAAGCTCTTGCATGAGTCAGAAACCTACGTTTGATGCACTGTGTGTGATCCATTTTCGCTGTTCGATCTTTAGGCACACGCCCATCCTAGTTAATGAAGATCCGGGATTAAGTTGGACCTAATGGGCTAAAACGTAGGACTTTATACTAGTGGGCCTCTAATTGATATGTCATTTGATTTTGGTCCAATACTTTTCTGATAATTCCTCGTATACTCTTGTTTGCCAACGTGCCCTTATCTTTTTATTAATATCTATTTAATCTAAATTTATGTTCTGCTCAGTTCAGTTAAGTGAACCCAAAAAACCGAATATTTGGTTAGCTGCAATTTTATTTTCATTAAGATTACGATACATCATGAAATGATATATAATTAAAATATATTATTTTGTTGACCAAGGTCGTATAGGACCACATAATACAAACAGTAATGTAAGATATGAAATAGAAACATTTTCCTTATATATATGTCGATGATAAAGAAGACAACTTAAATTTCCTGGAGGACCTAGTTTTCAGAGCATAGTTTAATGCAAATTGAATGTATACATAAATCTATCTAATCGATTATTATAATTACTAGGATTAGACCCGCGCTTTGCGCGGAATGAGATAATTAAATTTTTTGTATTTTTGAAGATAAGAATACATTATATCTGTTTTATTTGCATATTAGTTTGTTTTGGATTAGTTATTTCGGGTTTTAATATCATCCAATTATATATCTATATTATAAATATTGTCTTTTTAGTTAAATTACGATTTTGATTTTATGGTGATAACACAAAGACTAAAATTAATTACGAATTTATTTTTGGAGAGGCCCTCACTATAGTAAGTCTTTAGGTTAAAGAAGATGAGAAATCTAATATAAATAAAATAAACTCACTTCCATTATAATAAAGATGCATAATCTCATTCTTCCAAAAACAAATAATGGTCTAAATATAAAATAGGTATTTTATAAAAAAATACAATCAATAATTAGATAGAATAATTTCAAAACTTCAGAAATCGATGATTGGAATCTTGCAAAGACATGAATTTCAATATATGAGGAAGAACAAAGTTTTTAGTGTATATACTACACAGCTTTATAAAACCAACTAAGTATAATGTGCTTACTGCGATTTGGAAGAACTGAATCTCTTGGATGTCAGTATCAAACAGAATTTCAGAAACACCTTCCATGTTTGTAACATAAGTGAGACCAAAGATAATGAACAAACGCCGGTTGATAAACGTTTTTTAATACGTATAACTTTATTCCGATTGATAAACGTTTTTTCATACGTATAACTTTTGTCTCATATATTTGTTTTTTTTTGTCATCCACACGACATGGACACACGTAAGATGAAAGTATATTACTGTGAACACCATTAAGAGTATTGAGACAATCCCAAATCTCCTTTTAGTCTCGAGATGGGTTGCGAAAAGGCTCATTTCGAGAAGCAAATTCTCGACTTGTATAACGAAATCTCCAATCTCAAGAGCCTTAAACCTTTCACATATATATGTCTACAATTTGTTAAATAGCTCATGTCCACGTCCTTGCCTATGGATACAAATATCGACGTTGAAAACTTGTGCCCAAAAGTCCAAAACATCATAACCAATCTCACCAACCTACGTAGTGAAGATATATAATTTTCAGAGCACCACTACTAAACGGCCTTGGGATCTCTCGAAGACAACATACTTCACCATTTAGATCTACCCTCACTAAACGTTTTTTCATACGTATAACTTTTGGAACATGTATCTGTTTTTTTTTGTCATCCACACGACATGGACACACGTAAGATGAAAGTATATTACTGTGAACACCATTAAGAGTATTGAGACAATCCCAAATCTTCTTCTAGCCTCGAGATGGGTTGCCAAAAGGCTCATTTCGAGAAGCAAATTTTCGACTTGTATAACGAAATCTCCAATCTCAAGAGCCTTAAACCTTTCACATATATATATGTCGTTAATTTGTTCAATAGCTCATGTCCACGTCCTTGCCTATGGATACAAATATCGACGTTAAAAACTTGTGCCCAAAAGTCCAAAACTACATAACCTATCTCACCAATCTACGTAGTGAAGATATAGAGTTTTCAGAGCACCACTACTATACGGTCTTGGGATCTCTCGAAGACAACATACTTCACCATTTTAATCTATCCTCAGTACAATAACTATCTCAAACTTAGCAAGGTCGAGTTCTATCTCTTCACGCTACACACGAGCCATGTCCAAACCAAGATCGCGTTCATGGGCTCCGGTATGTTGCCCTTCACATCCATCATCTTAGATACGTCTCACCTCCCAAATAAAGACGTTTCAAAACTTTGACATCGACCCTCAAGCCAATTCACTTGCCTCCGAACTTATCTCACGCGATATTGAACTTTGTAGTTTTAAAGTATCTCGTGTGTTTTATAATTGAAGTAAATAAGGTAATATATTGTGAGAATGTAGTAAATAAGGTAATAAATTGTGAGAATGTAGTAAATAAGGTAATAATTTGTGAGAAGGTGGTGTGAAAACATTTAATGCAAAATGCTTCTCTTTTAATATATAAGGGATATATCAATACTGAAATTTATTAGGCTATATGTCATACTCTATCATAAGTTTTTACATAAATCAATACTGGAGGAATAAGAGAGAGGAAGAAGACAACTTAAATTTCCTGGAGGACCTAGATTTAAGTATACTCTCTCTTATTCCTCCAGATATGCATATATACTTTCAAGTACTTGAAGCATATTCGTGCACGAACGCAAAACCCCTCCGTTTTTGGAGTATTTCAATGCAAATTGATCCGCTTAATTACTTTTTACTGCCCAACTCATTGAGTATATGATTAAATATGAAAAAAAAAAAAGCATTGATCAGTTAATTCCTTCATTTACCAATTAAAGTGGTCATAATACTGTTACTTGATTAGTTGATTATGAATGTTGTGTGTTTACTACTTGGGCAATTTACAAATTAAACTCCCAAATAATTTTTTGGATCAGTAAAAGGGATTTTTACTGATACCTAAACGGTTTAGATAAGGACTATGGCACTACTACAAACAAAAGATAACTTCTAATAATTACACACACATTTATACCAATTTATTTAAGAATTGCTTTAGCGCAAGCTTTGATAACAAACTTTGATAACTGATAAATCACAAGCTAAAATTACATATTTCTGAACACAGTTACCTATAAACCTAACCACATTTTAACCAATAGAAAAAATAAATTACATAATAAAATTAATAATTTTTTCATTCAAAAACCGAAAACGATACTTATTTTGTAACGAAAATTTTTTTCTACAACGATGCTTAATATAAAACGGAGGGAGTAAGTTTGTCGACACTCTTATATTATTCTAAAACAACCTCACACTTCTCACTAACTCTTTGTTTAAGGGCAATCATTATGTACTACTTCACTTATTAGTGTTTGCTTTAAATTTGGATGTTTCTGTATTTTATTCTGTAGCTGATCTGTCAACTGAGGGAATCTTTACCCTTCCCAACTCACCTATGTATTACTTACTTATCATTATTTATTATAGGTAATATGCCCATTCAAAGCTCTCTTCTTTATATTTCTTTTTGCTAACTCATCAAGATGTGTCCCTTTGCTTTAAATTAGTATCATAGTTATATGTATGTAAGATGATTGATGTCATTGATTAGAGCTTGATTTCAAAGCAAAATAAATGGGGAGAAAACCTTGTTGTGACAAGATTGGATTGAGAAGAGGTCCGTGGAGTATAGAAGAAGATCATAGACTCATGAACTTTATTCTTAAAAATGGCATCCACTGCTGGAGAATCGTCCCCAAACTTGCAGGTACTTCTTTATAATACACATTTGTATATATGCATGCATAATTCGTATTTATTTATTTTTATTACATTTTCTGTTCTCTTTGAGGGGTTTAGTGTTTACATGTGCATGAAGGTTTGTTGAGATGTGGGAAGAGCTGTAGATTGAGATGGATTAATTATTTGAGACCCGATCTCAAGAGAGGTGGTTTTACTGATGCTGAAGAAAATCGGATTATGGAACTTCACTACCAGCTTGGCAATCGGTACCGTACGAAACTTCAATTTTTTTTGGCTAAAAGATAGTTATTCACTAGTTTCTTTCAATCATATAATTACGTTCCCGGTGTCAGACAATATATTTTTTTTCAAAAAATGAAACCAATCAACATGTGTTACCGTACATGCTTAGATTTATGTCCGACATGTTTCATTCAACTTCCTTCACTTCATTTATTTCTTTCTAAAAGTTATGAATTTGGTTTCTAGAATTTAACAAAATGGTTTCTGAAAACATTTGGGCATGGCCGCATGGGAGTGGGAATGGTCCAAATATACACATAAACATCTAAACTGTTTTGGGGGGTTTGGTGGCCGACCCTAAAGTTTTGGGGTTATAGACATATAGTAAGAATTTTAATAAAAGATTTTTTAAAACAGTTTAGATGTTTATGTGTATATTTGGACCAAAACCAAAGAGTAGTGCGTTGAATTAAATATGGTTGATATAATCACGTTATATGCTATATAAATTATGTAGTTCTTACATGTTTTATGATTGCATTTGATGTTGAAGGTGGTCTAAAATTGCTTCTCATTTCCCTGGTCGAACGGATAATGAGATAAAAAATCATTGGAATACAAAGATCAAGAAGAAGATGAAACATCTTGGTTTAGATCCGGATATGCATGAACCAATGAATAATATTACCAACCAAAGCGAGTCGAAGCAGATAACAAAATCAAACATGTGTTCTACCATCAAAGGAGAACAAACAAAGGATCAACGAAAAGATGATGTTATAATAGAAACAAAGAAAACATCAATAATATCCAAGAATGATGAAGAACTTCTGGCGAAGAACTGCAAAACGCTATGTGCAGAAGAAGTAGACATCGGATTTCTATTCAAAATGCAAGGCAACGAGATATCTGTCTCGTCTTCATCTTCTTTATATAGTAATATTTCAAGAAGTGAATCTTCATCATATCTTGCAGAGGATTCCATCTCTTTAGAGCAATGGGGCTTGACCGATACGACGGATCCTTTCGTGCCATGGGACCTCTTCACCAATCTTGATGATAATCTGTTCCTTTTATGAGAGAATACAGTGTAATATATCTATAAATGTATATTAATCATATGTAATTAGTAGCTTAGTTTCATGTATGTAAGTTGTGGATTATGCATGGCGGAGAATTATATATTTACTCATAGAAGTTGTTTGCATATATAAAATATTTATAATGACTAATTTACCCAATATATATATATATATATATGAGCTGCTAAAATACCATACATAGCTTGCAACTATATAATTATTAATTCGTCACTTTTTTAAAAAGCTACTTCCTCTGTCTTGAATCCGCTGTCATCTTCGATTAAAGATCTATTTTGCTTTACTTATTTATGGTTTGTATGGTATGTTTATTGTTAAAGAGGATGGATAATTCCCTCTATATATTGTACAAAAATTGATAATATTGCATCTTGTTGGATTGATGGGGCATGGCAGGAAGCCTCAAAATCGGGTGGTATGGGGTGGATTTTCAAGAACGCGGAGGGTGAGGTTCTTTGTCGGGGATCCTCTTCCAGATCCCATGTGAGCTCGGCTTTAATGGCAGAGGTGTTGGCGCTGCGTGAAGCGCTCCGTAAGGCTAAGGAGTTACATCTCCCAAGTCTCCAAATCTTTTCGGACACTCAAGTCCTTGTTTCTACCTGCGTGAAGGGAAGGATATGAACGAGATTGCAGGTATTCTACAGGATGTCAGGAACCTTGCCACTCTCTTCTGTCCATTATCTTTTGTATTTATTCCTCGTTTAGAGAATTCTCAGGCTGACTTGTTGGCTAAGGCAGGCCTTGCTCGTTTGTTGTTGTAATTTGTACTGAAAACCTTTTAAGTTTAGTAATGCAAGTTGTTGTTCGACAAAAAAAAGAAGAAGTTTAAGTATGAATATGAAGAAGTTTGTGTTAAAAAAAGGGGGTAAATGCGGCTTTTCATGAAATAAAAGAAACATGTATAGATGTCTTTCTTTTTTTTAATAAAACATGTATAAAACTTATGAAATTGACAAAACCTAGTTCAGAAGAAAAAAATTAGGAAATTGAACCCGTTTCAAATTAACAATGAGTTTCAGAATAAAATGTACCTACCTACTATAAAAATAAAATAATAACTGTACCAACTTCATTTGAAGCATGCATTTGATTTAACTTTGATTAAAACAAAATCAACTAAGTAATCACTTATACTAAAATTTATATAACTATATTTTTTTTTGTCAAATATAACTATATCTTTTTTAGTAAGAAGATTTGATTTGATCGGATCAAATAAAGTTAAAACATAAATTTATACAATTTTAGATCAAGTGATCGTAGCTGTTGGGATAAAAGACAATGTTGCTTCCGTCAAGTTTTGGCTTTTTGCAAATATTGTATTAATCCTTATAATCATACTACTAGTTCTGTCTGACAAAAAACTTAGTGCAATAAATTGAACCAAAGTCTGCCTGTACAATAAGAATAAAAAAAACTTGTAATTCCAGGAAGCATTAAAATTAAAATTTTGAAAGCCACGACCGTACGAGCGAGTACGATCAACAATATAAAGCGGGCCAAACCTTAACATTGGTGCTTGGTCTGGATTAGTCAACTTATCATTTGTATGTGTGCTCGTTTGAGTTTTGACAGTGTATGTTTTTGAATAAGCAAAATATATATAGTACTAATTGATTTGTGTTAGAAAACAGAGAAGCTAACCAAAAAATGAGGAAAAAAAAGGTTTACGAAAGCAAGCAACTAGCAACGAAAAACAACAAGAAAACGAAATTGTCATGGAAGCAGCAACACATATACAACCTTTTAATTAAATCTAACATTGTGGCATCACTAATCTACAACAAATAACGTGAAGCTGAAGAACCCGAAACAGAACCAAACGAACATTGTAGCCGGAGGAGCAGAGGATGTGGCGGTCCGGTCGTTAGTTAAGACTTCGACCATCATTTTCTGACCTTTCTCGCAGTGACCCGACGTTCCACTTATGAAATAGTAAGGAACTGAGTGATCAAACATGAACCGGGTCTTGCCCGTATTCGAGTAGAATCTCGGGTGAGACGAATTGCATTGCTTGTAACCCTCCTTTGTTACTTGCATCACAGAATCTTTCTTGTACTTAAATTCTTTAATCCCATAGAACCAAACCAGAAACAAATAAAAATTAGAAGAAGAAATTAAAATTTGATGTAAAAAAATATGGAAACATTTTTTGAGATTTTAGGTATGCTTACGAATGATGTCTCCAACTTGAAACCGTTTATTGGAAGCCCAGTCATTGAGACTTGTAGAAGCATTTGCAGGAGGAATTTCCCAATGGAGTTTGTATTCAAGGGAAGAGACAGAAACTGAAATCATTAAGAAAGTAACCAGCCAAAGAAACATGTTTTCTAGAATCTGTGAGTAAACGACGATGGAGTTTTGGAGTTTAGTAGGGGTTTTATAAGAAACTGAATCGAGTTGGTTACAAGAAGAGAGGGAGATAGTGGAGTTGATTATAAGTGTTAGTGGTTGGTTATGTTATGCCAATGCAACACGCGCGGGAACAGAGGAGGGTCATTCACTTTGAGTCTCTGACAGTTGGGCCTGGTTAAAGCCTGGTTCAACTTTGGTTTATGGCTAACCAACTCATATTTGTAAACGGTGTATGCAAGTAATCTTGCTATTGCACTAATGTTCGATACACCATCCAACACAAAATCAGTTTTACATGGAAGATAAGAGAATAAATCCATTGTAATTTTTTTATAATATTAAATAGAAAAGTTGCTACCAAAACTTATGCATTGCTTTCCAAATTTTGAAATGTGATAACTAGAATGATATATTTAATTGCTCCCTATCATTCAGGGGAAACAGAATTCGACCACATGACAGAATGCATAATGCATTGAAGACCATACTTTAGGCTGGGTACAAAGGAAATATATTTCTTAGTAAAATTCCAATAAATATGTCTGACCCATGACCATGAACATAGACATACAAGCAATACATATAGAAAATGTTTTTTTTTTTGATAAAAAAAAAAAAAAATTTCTATATGTATTGCTTCATTGCTTGTATGTCTATGTTCATGGTCATGGGTCAGACACATTATTGTGTGCATAGATAAATGTTACATATGTTCTTTATTTTATGTGATAATTATGATGGGCAACCATGTTGGTGGATCAATTTTGTTAGAGGAGAAATATATATGCGAACCGGGCCTCGTGGTCTGGTGGTAAAGGAACCTCGGTTGAGGTGCTCGCCATCACGAGTTCGAGCCCCGGCTACAGCGGATTTAACATGGTTTCCGTTTGGCCTTCAGGACCCCTTCGGGGGATAGTCAGGTCTCTAAATAAGCCCCGGACACTTGAATTATCAAAAAAAAAAATATATATATATATATATATATATATATATATATATATATATGCGGATTCACCGTATCTCAAATACCGTCTTCTAGCTACTACACCATGTTGCTATGTCATATCACCTTGTCCATTTGATAATCAAATATTTAATCATCACATACATACATGTGTTTGTAGTATGGTTTGGTTTTATGTTGATCTACAATATAATAACCTAACGTACAACAAAGAACTTAGGGCATGTATTAGGAGTTTTCTATCTCTCAAAAAAAATATATATATAAATGTTTCTGAAATAATTTAGAAATCCACGTTAATATTTTCTAAATGAGAACTTTTGGCATTGGTCTCTCAAGTTTTGGGAATTTTTAAATTAAATATTAAATCTTTATTTTCTTGCAAAAATTCATGGTGAACTTATTTTGATGTAGATGGTCTTAAAAAAAATAAAAAGCTGGAGTCAATAATTTGATGGAGAGTGAAACAAAAATATTACTACCAGATATAAAAAATATTAAAATATATATTGTTTTTGTTTAAAATATGACATCAAATTAAAATATTGGTATTTATTAATGCAAAGAAATACAGACGACATTAATTTTATTCACTGGAAAATGATAACGAATTAAAAATTGTCTCTTTCGTTAAATTATTCAAAACTTAACGTTGTAAAATAATTTAGAACTTTTCTCAAAAAAAATTAATTTAGAACTTGGCTTGCAGATGAATAACTGATATTCTCCTAATAACTATTACATAATCAGATTTGGGAAATCTTATGTAGTTGTAAGCTTAGTTGTTTGATCTCTTACGTATAAGAAATATCTTGTCTAAGATCTTGTAAAGATTCATCTCATATATATATACAAACTCACTCAATGGTATTTTCATATAATTAACCTTGAGCTAAGCAGCAAGTTATTGTTTATAATTGGTTAATTTGTCGTTATTTCAAAAGGCTTTCTTTTATGCATTACTAATTGTCCAAAATGGTCCTACCACATGGCGATCATTACACCAAGATTCAAGTTCACCCAAGAAACGTAATCACTTTGATTGCCATTAATAAAAAATTACACTACTGTCCGTTTACTTGATTAGGTATGTGATTAAAAACTATGTACCATCATCATCGCTAGTTTTTTCTTTTGTCAACATTTTTGCTTTGTAATCCTTGGACAATGCCATCATTTGAATTTTATTTGTCAATAAATATATTAGTTAAGTAGGTGTGTTCTTATTTTCTAAGAACTCGATATTTGTCCTTTAAGTTATCTTCGTTAATCATAGTTCTCTATTTATGAATTATTTAAGAGAACTCAACAGGACACGATGTGATTTCAACCTGGCCTTTGTGAGTTGTTCAAATTTTACTGTTAGTATGAGAAATGTATCTTCTAGAGATGCAATGCAGACAGGATTTCCTCTCTCGTCCCAATGTCATACTTTCACTATTTAGAATAACAAATGTTTTGTCTACCATGAACCTTTTTAGAAAAATAATTGTTATTCATTTTAAAATAAAACAGTTTAGTTTGTAAGCCGACAAATCCGTTTATTTCTTTATAATCATTGAAAGGCTTTGTATGCTTCTTATAAACTCAATATACAACTAATGTTAATGAGCAAAAAGTAATGAAAATAATTTGTCAAACTGAGATAAACTTTAATACAACAAGGTCGGCACGCCGAAATTCCTACATAAAACAAATCATACCCATAACGAACTTTTAATTAGTTAGCAATACTGTAGTTTCGATTGTTTTTTTTTTCTGAGCTTGGCCCTTCAATCAAGGAAACATTGTTTATTATCAGTGGAACCATAGACCATGTGCTGAAACTTTTCTCTTAACAGTCTCAATCAATCCTATAGAAATCTGACTTATCCTTTGCCGGCAAATATTCATGGATTTTCTTATTGTATGTTAACTCTCTCCATATTATTAATTTACAAACATTAAACAAAAAAAAAAAAAAATATAAGAGGAAGACTTGTAAATTGTAAAGGCAACTTGCACATGCAAGTATGTATGTGGTTTTTGTCCTTTTCTTTACCTCTCGTCTCTTATATAAACCACCTATATGTTTCCATCTTTATATATCCCAAAGCTACAGAGAAAACATAAGGGGAAAAAATCCACTCAAATCAAAGTAGAAGGAGATGATGAAGTTCAAGTCCAAGAGATTTGGCATTAGATTTGGTTTTGGTAAAAGAACCAACAACAAAGACACACAACAAGATCAACAACAAAAAGGATTTGGTAGTAACAACAACAATAGTAGCAGCAGCAACTATGAGATCAAATGGGAACTTAGGCCAGGAGGTATGCTTGTTCAAAAGAGACAAGAGAGCATTGGTGAAGATTTGATCTCCATTAGAGTCTCTACTTTTGCTCATTCTCATGAACTCTCCATTGAAGCCACCTCCAGTTTTGGTAAATTTCTCATCTCTCAATACTTATGAATCTTTATGGTATTCTGGGAGACTTGCTTAACAACTAATTTGATATAAGTTCAGAATATATAATATTTAAAGGATTTAACAGATCATATCGGAGCTAGATCACAAAAAATATCGTATAGTAAAATCACAAAAAGCTTTTGAAACTACAAAATATATATTTTCTCTTTAAGAACTAGAAAACCATTCAAAAATATGAAACATAAGAGATTGAAAATTTTGATTTTAATAAAAAATTCGAATTCATAAAATAAATCGTGATATTAAAACTGATTTATGCTTGTGGATTTACAGGTGAACTTAAGATGGTACTAACATTGCTTACTGGTCTCGAGCCAAAGCAGCAACGGCTATTATTTAAAGGAAAAGAAAGAGAGGATGATGAATATCTACACATGGTTGGTGTTGGAGACAAAGACAAAGTGTTGTTGTTAGAAGATCCTGCCTTCAAAGAGAAAAAGCTTCTTAACAACATTTCCAATTCTTGCCCTACTATAATCGTATAAACAAATAAACAAGTCTGTCAAATTAATTGTTTGTTAACTTCTTGGTGAAAACATAATATTAGCCAAGTATAATGACTAGATAGGATTGCCATGCATAATGCACTATTGATTATACAAATTCCATGTCGTCGTTCTCCTTCAAAGTTGTAAACTAATGTTTACATTCTGTAATATCATTTTCAAAGTTTTTGGAGTGTTCCATACTTCTGATCAGTTTTCTTTTACTTCTAAAGACCATATAGAACAAGGGTGTTGAATAATTTATTAAACTGTCGAATGGCTCCAACAAGAGTGTTGAAAAGATATGAAACTTACGTGGATCATTTGTAAAATTGAATCTTTTTAACTAGCTGAAGCTTTAAAACTGGACCCATATTAACAATATGTCACAAGATTATTGGTTCTTGAGAATTTTCATATTTTTTCACTCACCCTAATTCTTTCAAGTCTGATATTTTACAATAAATTTACTAATTTTATTTATTATTTTATATCAAAACTTACATTTTTATGTTTTAAAAATAGAGACTTATTATGTTGGATTTGGACATAGAATTTTTTTCTATATTATTATAATATTTATTATTTTCTAATAATTTTTGTTTATACTTAAGATATTTTTTTGAAAGATAAAACCTAAAAATTATATAATCATAAAATTTAAAATATATATAACTAGAAATAAAAACATGGATAAAGTGTTGAATTTAAAAAAATATTATTATTATTGTAAATAAAAGTAAGTAAATTTTGAATGATTATGTGGAATTGAGAGATGATGATGTGGATGGTAATAATAAAAACTAGGTGTTTTGCCCGCACCTGCGGGCATAATTCTCTTATAAATACTTATTAGTTGATATTTATGTTTTTAAAAAGCAAATCAAACATCAAATAATTATAAATGACAGAACTCAAACATTAGAAATATTTTTAAAAAATATATTTCTATAGTTATTTTGCTTGATTTATATTTAATTATAATATTATACAAATAGTTTTACTTAATTTATATTTAATTATAATTTTATATCTTAATTTTAAATTTTATAATAGAAAAACATTTTTAAAAGATAACAATATAATGCATACTTTATTTATTCTCTAAAAATCTCATATGATAAATTTGTTTTAATTATATAATAATTATATAAAATTACTGAAATTATGACATATAATTAAAAAATAATGGACAACTTAACAAATCATCAAATTCACTTCTTAAACAATTTTGCTTGAGTGATGATTTATATTTAATTAAGAATAGATATTTTTCTAATTTACTTTTAAATTATATAATATAAAAATATATTTTCGAGATGACAACATAATACATAAGAATTATTTTATTTTCTAAAAGTATAATATTATTAGTGTAAATTTATTTTAATTACGGAATAACTATAACTTTACATATCTTAATTTTAAATTTCTAAGAGAAAAAATATTTTCATGACAACAACATACTATATAAGAAGTATCCTATTTTATAAAAATCTGATACTATTAATATATTTTTAAAATATATAATAAATTATATATAAAATAATAGAAATTATGATAAATTATCAAATTTACCTAAAATCATGGAAAATGTGACAAATTAACAAACATCAAATTCACTTCTTAAATAATAGTATAAATTTTTTACATGGTAATTTTAAATTATATAATAAAAATATATTTTCAAGATAACAACATAATACATAAGAATTAACTTATTTTGTAAAATATCATATTATTAATATAAATTAGTTTTAATTACATAATCATTAATAAACAAAATTTAAAAAATTATGATAAATGATTTATATTTAATTATTAATCATATAATTTTTATATCTTAATTTTAAGTTTTATAATAGGAAAATATATTTTCAACATAACAACATAATACATAAAAACTATCTTATTTTAGAAAAATATAAATTTGTTTTATTTATATAGTAAATATAATAATTTTTATATCATAATTTAAAATTTAAGTTTTTATATATAAAAATATAGTTTAAGATAATAACATAATTCACAAGAATTGTTTTATTTTCTAAAAATATGATATATTCATATAAGTTCATTTTTATTTATAAATAATTTATAGATAAATATTAAAATATGATAAATAAAAAAATTGCCTAAATTTATGGAGAACATGACAACTAAGCAAATTTACATCTTAAGTAATAGTATAGAAATTGAAGTTTATATATAAAAATATATTTCAAGATAACAACATAATTCACAAGAATTATCTTATTTACTAAAATAGGATATATTCATATAAATTCGTTTTATTTCTAAATAAAATATATATAAATATTAAAAAAATTAATAAACAAATAAAATTACCTAAATTTATGGAGAACATGACAACTAAGCAAATTTAATTCTTAAATAATAGTATAGGGTGTTGAAAAATCTCAACCAATTTACATAGTCTAAGTTCTAATTAGGTACACGCTGAAGAGTTAAATCAATCAAAAAAGATGTACTCAGTTGAGTAATCCGTAATATCCACTCCATTATTATTATTCGTTTAGATGATGTGGTACAAATTAGTTGACTTACCCACTAATAGAACTGAAACGGGCAAGCAAACCTAAACTTCTGCATAACCGAGCTTGTCAAGACCCTATACAGACCAATACCTTTCATTTCTCGGTATACTCCGGTTAGGCCCTTAACGTCTCATAAAGTTACACAATAACATTATCATACCAAACATCCGCCACTTGGTTATTCCAGAAGACTAGTATGCCCACAAACCAAAAGTTTAAACCACCAGTCTTTTAGTGGTTTACAAATCGTCTCTCTTCACAAACCGGCCCTGAAAAGAGATGAACCAAAACCAATGGTTAAACAGAACCAGCAGTTCCACGCATCAACTCAATCTAGTTCTCGATCTTACATATATTAGTGTCGCAATTAATGTTTATACTACACCCAGTAGTAGTGTAGGTGTGCAAGTTGTTGAAAAGAAAAAGAAGGGAAGCTTTACTTACTTTAACACGAGGACGTTTCTCAGCGTTGAGTTTACGAACTTGGTATCGAATCCGTTTAGAGAATAGGCGACTTTGCCGTTTCTCTTTATACCGTAGCAAGCTCGCTTCTCTATGCCCTCTCCATAAACTCTCCGTCGTCTCCATCTCCGGCACGGCCCATAAATTTCCTGCCTCTCCGCCGCAAGTAAACACCTAAACCACCATCAAACACACACACTTGCCTATTATCAAATCTTTATTAACCAGCTTAGTTGATAACAACGATAACCAAAATGTAAAATATATCGTATGATTTTGATAAGCTCGATCATTTTCATGATTTCACAAATATATTTATCAATCAAATAGTTTGTAGATTATTAACATGTATAAGCATATTAATATTTAATAAGTTTACAGTCAACTAAAAATTCTGCTGTTACATTTTAATCTTTCTAGTTTTTTTTTTAACTTTCTAGTCAAATTATAAAGTTTCAACGTACAGTAATAAATTACTAATAATTATAATTAGGCTATTACCATTACAGTTTCAAGAAAGAACTCGTGACCACATCAAAACTTTCAACGCTTTTACTTAATTACGATATATAAAAATGATAAACAAAGAGGTGTTTGTTTACTTACATCAGCTGAAGCATGCAAGTCCGGGACCGTCTGCGGCGGTTCTCCGTCGACATAAAGAGTACCTTTATCCAACCAAGCCTCCATGATCTGCTCATAATCAAGCTTCAGAGCCAGCGAAGACCTTCCCTCATTTCCATCTCCACCGCAACACCGTGGAGTCCCGCTCCGACTCATCACCTCATCCACAACCTCCGAGTAACTCACCCACCGCTCCGCCGTGGTCTCCTCCTTGCTCACCCCTTTCCTCATCGCCGTCCTTAGAAGCAAGGAGGAAGAAGACGAAGATCCGTGCTCTTGAAGGTCGTAAGGAGACACGTTCCTTCCTCCTCCGACATCAGAAGGGAGTAGATCGTGGATCGAAGAGATTGTGCTGTCGGTAGTGGAGTTGAAGAGGTAAGCTGCTGCGACGGTGTCGTATTGCTCTTCTTCTTTTTCTCCTCCCACCACACTAGTCTCTACTCTCTTCTTCTTCTTCTTGTCAGCTCCTTCTTTCGTCTTGTTCTGTTTTTGTTTACCCTTCTTCTTCTTGCTCTTTCTGGTTCCAGGGTTCTTGTGAGAAGTGTTGAGACTGAGAAATTTAGGTTTCTTCGTCTTTGTTCTGATCTTATTACGAGAAGTTTCAAGAAGATTCGAAGGAGACTTGTCCATGTAAGTTGTTGATTCTATGTGTTTCCTCTTCTTGATCCTCTTTGATGTTCTCGTGCTCTGTTTCTCTTCTACGACCACCGGACTTGGTTTGCTACACATCTCTATCTGATTAAACTGTGTGTTTCTCACTCTTAAATTAACTCTTTTCTCTGTTTTTTTTTTTGTAAGAGAAGTATGTAGGTGGAGGGAAAAGGAAATGTGATCGTGATAGTACCTTTTGACGCGTGTCAATCAGTCATTTGATAAAACTATTGTAATCTTGGATTCTGTTTGGATGTGCAGGGGATAGATTGTATTAATTATGTGATAAACTCCATTTTTATTTTCAACTCTTTCGTAATTGACTTTCTTAGTTCACGAATTTATTAACAAGGTTTGGGGATATTATCATGTCAGCATTATTTTTTGGAGGTATAACATGTTGAGATCATATTAATTGGAATTAACACGACATAAACCTAAGAAAACAAACGTGGTTAACATGAGAATTTTTCGAGCCACTATTGCTGAAAGATATGTTTGAAGTGATATAAATATCTAACGACTTTTCTCCGTGAGAGGACTGCAACTGCATTATTATTATTCCACGCTGTCATCGAACGCAAGTTAACTGTGAAACTGATAGAAATAAAATTTCAAAATGCGAATCCAATTCATCATAAATTGACAAGAGGATATATCATTTGAACTTTGGGTTTTATCGTAAATTATGCTACCACCGACAGCAAATGACTTGTGAAGTGATTTATAGTACAGTCTCGTCCTGAACTATTACTGCCATTATTTGATGACACCTTCCGTATTTTTAGATTTTCTTCTATATTAACATTCACGTGAAATAAAAATAAAATAAAATAAAAAGTTATAATACTATTTTGACTTTCTTACATTTTCTTTTGGCTATGATTTTAAGAAAACCATAAATCAGCTCATTTTAGTTATTGTCACAAATACTTCGTAAACGTGATAATACTAGCAGCTCAGTTTGAGATTATGAATGTTGTTTGATTCTAAATATAGAATTAGAATTAAAATACATTTTGAGCTTTTGATCTGAAAAGAGTTTATAGTACTGTTGTAAGAAGCCCAATGAAAATCCAATATTTTGGCAGCACCATGGAGATATAAAATACACACACAAGTCATTACCATGGTTGTCTACAAAAAAAGAACAAAGATCCAAAACATAGTGTCATGCATGGTGCAGTTTTCTGCAGCTTAGTACTCGAAGACATTTGTTAATGTTTTGACAGAGACCATACATGTCTTTGCGAGTCGCAAGTCCTACATCGCAAATTGTTGTTTGTTTTGCTGTGGCCTGATTAATCACACGATAATATCGTATGTCGCAAGTTATTATTTATTTTTCTGTCGCACAAACGACTAGTTGCAAATGGTGATTTCAAGTCGCCTAATTAAAAATTAACGAATAAAAGAAAAATATTTTACAAAAACAAAACAAACAACATCTAATTACTCACATAACCTTGGACAGGCCAGTGGTTGACCAAAAATTCATTAATACTTTTACATCATACAATTTGGGTTTCAATTTCCAACAACAACGAATTATGCAAAAATTAGAAAAAAAAATATTTACAAAAAAATCTTTAACATGTACCGCCAAGAAAAAAATTCATACATATTTTAACGAGTCAAAACTTTAAAAAAAAATTATTTACAAAAATACCTTTTTATATTTTAGATGCATGTTTTGTCAATTAATAATAAGAAATTTTAAACTTCAAAAATTGATTGTCTTACTGAAATTTTATTGGTGTAAAATTATAGAATATAGACAATTACAAAAAAAAATATGTTTTTATAACTGAAATTTAATATGTTTTATTTAATGTGTAAAGACTTTAAAACATGCATTATCTTTGAAAGAGCATTATTTTAAAATAAGGTAGCATATAGGTACCATGGAGGTTCATGATTATATTAAAGAAAAGGTTGTTGATTAGTTCAAACTGTCTATAACTAATTTCAAAAATCAAACTCATAGGTACAAGAACATCAAAACAGAGCAGAAAATCAAAAGATTGACTTAGGATCACACATTGATAACAACATTTGTACTTTCCAAGCAAAGAAGAAAAAAAGAAGTCAAAAGATTATGGAACAGTATTAAGTTAGCAAAGTGATCCGGAGAAACCTAAGTGATTAGATCAAACTAAGTTCCCAATAGTAAGAAGATTAACAAGAGATAAGGTTTGTGGATCTGATCTCTACTTGTTAGTAGAGTTTTATTCTTGTCTGGATCGGTGCATGGCAAATTGGACACACTTGCAGATCAGGTCCACACTTGCAACAAGTCTTGTATCAAAACAGAAACCAAGTTTAGTTTCATGTTTTATCGATTTAGTGAAGAGGACTAAAATTCTGTTTGTAGGATTTACCTGATGGCCACAACCAAAGGCCATGTCTTTAGTATTACTCAGACAAATAGGATAAGTTTCAAAAATTTGTTAAATAGATAAAAATCTCATAACGATTTTAATTTTGAAATAACATTTCAAAACGATTTTAGTTTTTTTTTTAATCTTTTCACATTTTTGGAGGTACCTGGTTATCAGAAGCTGAGGTTGTGGCGGATGGTGCAGGACTAGACCTTAGAGGATAACTTTCAGTAGGATAAGAAGAAGGTACACTCGGTTTGAAACTTGGAGGAACACGATTAGCCTTTGGTTTGTTGTAAGACGATGCTCCACCATGCATTGGAGGTGGAAGAAGGAATCGTTCAGGGATCTTCCCATTTCTTCTTCCTAAAAGGTTAAGCTCTAAGGTGGCCTTGTATTGTTGAGGTATCTCCATGAGAGCAGAAAGAGCAAACTCTGTTTCTTTCAAGGACTGAGATTTGTACTTTGACATGATCTCTGTGAGGTTGACAAACTAGAAAAAGAAACAGGAAATAACCCACCAAAAAAGATAAAGATGCAACCCCCTCCGAGAATGAAGATCATCTTCGACCGTGACCTTATAGGAGCCACTCATGATTAGTGTACTTAATTGCACTTTAATCTCGAAACATTATGTTTTCTCGAGCTTTCTTCGTGGCTTGATGTTTGTTGCAGGTGTGTGAAGGCCTTCGACACATACCCACGAACATTTGATCTTTATCCATCGCATGGAACACATTCACAGAAACCGAAGCACGTCTGCACGTGGATGCAGCATCGAAGATTTGCTTATCGAGATGACAGGAGGATACTAGGGCCAGAAGGATTTGTCATAATTCGTGACACTTCAGAGAATATTAGCTACATCCACAAGTATCTGACATTGTTGAAATGGGACAAATGGTTCACAAAGACGACTCTTAAAGGTTTCTTCTCTTACAAGACACCTATCTACTTGATCTTGTCTTGTTCGCGACTGGTGTATCAATGCATTTTTTAGGTTAAGAAATGAGGGAACTGGAAATTACACGACATTCATACGTAGTTATGTTTTGCTTTTGTTGTAGGAAAACTACTAAAGATTCTATTTGCCTCGTGAATGTAACGGCCGAATCATTGGACAGGACTCATATCACAAGACCTCTAACATGGCCATTAAATAGAGAGAATGATTAAACCTGTTTTCTATCACTAAATAATATCAAAACTGATCCCATAAGCTGAAACACAGAGTTCATAGTGAAAAAATCACACAAAAACAGGAAGAATAACAGAAAGAAAGAAAGAGAGAGAGAGATCAGATAAGACTTATGACGCTGTTGTTTTGACCTTCTTCTTCTTCTTCTTTTTCTTCGAAGGGAGGCTATTGGAACCGAGCTCTTCAGGCTTCCTCTTTTTACTGTTAAAGAACATAAACATTATCATTAAACTCCTCAACCTCTCTGCTTACACCAATTTTGCTTTAATACAGTTCATTCGTTATCTATCAGTATATATCAATCTAAACTAAAAGTTAAACTACTTTTCTAATTTAAAACAAAACTTAGATACTCTTACAGTCTTACTTGAGGATGACTCTTCATGTCTAAAACCTTTTTTTATATACTATCTAAGAACAAAAGCAAAACGGATGAGTACCTTTCAAGAGTCTCATCCAAAATGTTTGCACCATCTTCATCAACTTCACCTATTATGCAGTCATCCAAACTAGTCTTTCCATCTTCATCAATCTCACCTATTTCGCATTTTATATTTTTTATAAAATTGAGAGCCATGATACCAAAAGCAGTAGTAATGGGATACGCAAGTGAACAAACCTATTGGATCATCTTCCTCGTCTGAATCAGATCCCCACCGGTCTCCTCCATCATCAAAGTCCCACCTCTCTCCATCTGGTGGCATCCAAAAGTCAAGCTCTTTCTCTTCAACCTCTTCATCATTCTCATGTTCAACTTCATCCATAATAACATCCTCTCCTTCCTCTTCCTTTTCATCTAACTCCTTGTTTTCCTTCTTCTCCTTCTTATTCTTCTTCTTCTTCTTCTTCTTCTTTTTATTCTTCTTCTTAGCTTCCTTTACACCATCCTCTTTCGCCACAGCTTCACCACCTTCCTCTTGAACAAACCCAGACTCTTTCTCTCGTTCCTTCTCCTCTGTTAGATAAACAACAATACAACACCATTAACCACATGACTACCTTCTCATCACCAAGCTTCAAATTACAAACCTAATTTGTTAAGGAAGCGCCGTCCAGTGATATGCTTCCAAATATGTTCCTCAGTCTTGTTCACTGTATCACCCGTAAGCTTACACAACAGCTTTGAACTATTAAAAAAAAAACAAATTCAGAAAAAATCCGAAACACAAACACATGAACTCAAAAATCTGGTAAGAATAATAAACTCTCCTGTGCAATTAAATTCGCATCAAAACAAGAACCTAAGAGCACATGAAACTTCCCAAACCTAAACAACAAGCCTCTACAAAAAAACCCTAAAACCCTAAACCATACATAAAAAGGGGATTACACTATCTAGAACCCTAAATTCAATCCAATAGATTTACCGAAAGCAAAACAAATTCAGTAAAGTGTCTGAAACACAAACAGATGAACTCAAAAAAACGGTAAGAATAATAAACTCTCTTGTCCAATTACATTCCCAAACCCTAAACAACAAGCTTCTACAAAAAAACCCTAAAACCCTAAACCCATACCTAAAAGGGGAATACAGTATCTAAAACCCTAAATTCAATCCAATAGATTACCGAGAGGTAGGATCTTGCTCAAAGAGGTTAAGAGGAGGCTTGCTGTGGGATAAGGCGTGATCTATAAGCCCTAAACGGCACCGTTTGCTCTCTGAATAGACTTTCTTGTCTTTCTCGAGTAGCTCGTGACCTGTTTGCACGCATCTGAATCTCCCGTTCTCTAGTTTCTTGTACTTTGGCTTTCCCAATAGGTTAGCGCCTTCCTTCGTCGCCATCTCTTCCTCTGTGGCCGCCATTGGTGTCGCAGTTTCTTTGCGATTTGTGTTCACTGAAAGGGGAGACTGCAAGTAGTTTGGATGAGTCAGACGACTTGCCGTTTTACTGTTTCTGAAATCTGTTGCACGTCGTTTTGTTTAAATGGGCCTTTTCAAAAGGTTGGAAATATATGGGCCTGTTGGTCGTTATATTAGAGTGATAGCATGTTTCTCGTATCTCTTACTTTATGATTTAAAACATGTTCAGAACCAAAAAAAATGTTACAACTTATTTGGGATGGTTATTTTTTGGTTAATTTTATTTATTTATTTTGGGATGATTTCTCAACCAATCGGCTCTAACTCAAGTACAAAGGACAAAAGTTTTGAAAAAAACTAAAAAAGAAACAAAAGGACAAAACATGTTACTACAAAATTGGTGGGTGTGATCGTGTGAAAAAGTGATGGACCAGGTTCTACTCTACGTGAACGCGTGTTTTGTAAACTGTGGTCGACAGGTATGAAAAAATGTAGATACGTATTATGATTAATTATGAGGATTGTTGGATATCTAATCTAACTTGTGGGTCAACAAACATTCTATTCGAGTCTAGGTCCAGAGTTGTTGGATACACGGTTTTTTTTATATATATAATATTTTCAACCCTAATTATGTTTTGGATAATTCCATTATCACGTCATATATTTTAAGTATTTTCTGCCTTCTCTTGCTTGTTCCTCGACATTTATATCACGCTCTCTTCGTTTATTTGGGTTGACACGTTTTGGGATTGAAAGCTGAAAGAAGCAGAAATATAACAATACACGTAGATATTAATTATGGTCAAAATTGAGTTAAATATGGTATTAATGCATAGTCATATCACTTTCAGTGTAATGATTTCCAAATAGTTGAACTTATGTGATCGAGTTATTTGAAATCTTAAACAATTATATAATGTCTGAAAAAAAAACAATTGAATTAGTAGGTCATTATATTGTATAATACGCGGTAACATACTGGTCGTATTGGATGGTGGACAAGAACATATCAATTCGTGATACTCACGAAGCCAACTCTAAAGCATTGGGTTACCGCATGACCCGTTCCGAGTGTTTCAACTTGAGCTTTATAGAGAAGGACATTAGTTATACTTATAGATAACTATACTGATTAAATAATTGTTAGCTACACGCTTGATAAATTTTCGAATCAACGAAATATATCGAGGGTAGTTATAAGAAAATTGGTGGAATACACATGTTGAATACTGAAAGATAACGGGAAAAAGGTATAGTAAGCCGATATAAGTACTTTGGTAGAACACAATTTTAAATTTTGTCAAGTTTAGGTTACCTGTTTATTAAAACTTGTAACAAAATTCATATTTTAATCCTTTTATATCAATTAATAGTTTGATCTTTTCAGCTTTAGTTATGCGATTAAGATTTCATTTGTTTAAATAGTTTTTTTTTTGTAAAAGTGTGCTATAAATCTGAGTTGAAATAAAGGAAAAGAACTAGGTAGGTCATTCCGTCTTCAAATATGCATCAAGATACTACTACTTGGTCACCTGGAACATGTCATATTGACTAGTTAGAATTGAGGAGACGAAGACTCAGTAGTAATTATTTTGTTTGACATTGCAAGTAATCATTTAAATATAAGGATATTCCTAACATAGTTAGAGTCTTAGAGATCAAATTGTTATTCATCCAATATTCTACAAAAGAGGCTCTACTATATTTATAGCGTATATTTTTTTTTCTTAAAGATTCTTCATTACCAGCCGGGAACATGTAATTTTGACTTGCTAGTTGGAAGACGAAGACCGAATTCTAACAAAAAAAAAGTATATATATATATATATATATATATATATATATATATATATGTATATTCCAAGTAGTATATGATACTAATCATCATCAGAAAAAAAACAAACAAATACTTTTTCCTAAATATGATCAGAACAGGTATTTTAACTCATAAAAATAAATGTAAGTTAAAAACTATTGTTTGAATTTCTGATGTAATTGAAAAACGCGTGATAATAGGTAAACTTAAAGAAAAACAGAAGTCGAAACTTATCTCAATAATTCAGTATTGACGATTGACTAACCATTTGTATGCGTAATTATTTTTATTTAACTAAATTAATAACTAGATAGTAAAAGTTGTTTAAAACTATTATAGATAGGATTGAGATTATTTCCTCGTATAGACAAGGTCATACGGTGGCAAATATCTATTATCTATACTATTAAAGCTGAAATACAAAAAATTAGTGTTTAGAAACATGAATAGGTATTTAAAATTATAATGATTGGAAACAAGGATAGTCTACAAATCTAATGCGCCTAAAATTATTATTGTTTTTGGGTTTCTATCATTGATATTATTTTATTTCTGAAAATTAGTTATACATATATGTATTCATGTTTTAAATGTATTTAAAATAAATCAAGAATAATATATATTTTATTTATATAATTTATATTGACTATTGTTATAATTTTTTAACAGTGATATAATAGCCTTTCAATTCTTCATTAAAAAAATTAACTTAAAATTTGAATAAATTGTTTAATGTATATAAGTTTGCACCAAATTTAGCAAAAAAAAATTTATAAACTATTAATAAAATGTTTACGGGTCACAATATTTTGCGACGCCCCTATTACACAATACAGTGATGAAATACAATGTTTAAATAATGTACTATTACTTAGTCAAATCGGAACCATTAGATTGTAATTTTTGAAATGTTTATATATACCATAAAAACAAATACCCGCATCTAGTATTATTTAAGAAGTGAGTTTCTTACGTATTGCGCTCATGTTAATTCTCGCGATAGTTGATTACATAGATACTCTTAATGAATTGTTAGATTTTAAGTGTTTTTTTTGTTTCTTTTTTACTTTTTCCAAATAATATATATAACAAAAATGAAATATTTCCAAAATTTTAAACAGATTTAAAAACGAAAATATATGTATATAGTATGACCCTATTAAAAAAAAAGTTCACAAAATAGTAATATAACCCATTAATATATATTTTTAAATACCATATAATATATTTTCAAAATAATAAAAATTCCAAAATTTATCAGTTACACTTTATTTTCTAATATTTTTTAGAAATCAACATATAAATTGATAAATAATATGAAAATACTTGTATATTTAAGCGATAAATAAAACTAATTTGATTTGACTTAACTAAAATAAGGAATAAATAAATATTATGAAAATACATGTATATTTAAAATAAAAAGTAATTATACTTCAATTTTAACTCAATATACTCACAACATGAATGATTCGACTAATCTAATTTATATCCAAAATTAAACATCTAACTACAATAAGAACATATAATTTTATAGTAATAATAAATCTATTTAATTTTATACATATAAATTAGAGATTGACTCAAACCATATTAAAAAAAAAAGAAAATATTAACCAATTACAATGTATTCTTTTGTAGAATTTATATATATGCATGAGACTTCAAAATATTATCATTATATTCATTTATGTAATTTTGAATCAAACACTTCAGCTTATTATTTATTTTAGTTTAAGCACAATATAAATATTAAGTTATATATAATTTAACTATAATATATTTACATATCTAAGACAATAACCAACCGAAATGAAAATAAAAAAAATTAAGCAAAGTTTTATTATATTTACAATAAAAAATATTATAGCTGAATTCAAAACATATAATATAATCCAATATACCAAATTAATAACAAAACCGACTATTGATCCAAAACACAATTAAACCGATAATAATATATCCAAAGTCATATGTATAATTAGAATAATATAATATTTATTAATATAAATTATACATAGAAATTGATACAAAACTAAAACTAAACATCAATCATATTATAAAATTTTACTTTTATGAATATTTATACCCGTGCATGAGCACGGAAAAATCACCTAGTAGCTTAATAATTGACAGATCAGCACGGTAGAAAATATTCTGACCGTAGATGAAAATTATCCTTTTAATTAATAAAAATGTCAATAAAATAAAAATTAATAAGTTCCAGCAAGTTTTAGGAACATATAAATAAACGAAAAGCATCAAAAACGGCTATAATTGGCGTTACAGTTTTCATAAGACGAGAGGGATTAAGAGAGTTTTTCTCCTCGGATATTCCCTATTTTATTTGTTCGAGTTTCTGAGAATTCTTTTGATTTGTGGTGTGCCTTCAACAAACAATCTTCTTCTTTAGCAAAAAATTTCAAGAGAAAAAAGTCCTTTTAATTTCTTGTGAGATAAAATCATGTCGGATGGATACTACTATAGTTCGAAGAAGAGGGACGATCTCTGCGAAGATGTTTGTGGACAGGTGAGACTTCTTCTGAGTCCTAATCATTCTTCTGTTTCTCTTCTTATTGCTTTGATTTTTTTTTTTTGGTCTTTTTGTCTTTGGCATTAACGAAATCAAGATTCTGATACCAATTTGATGAGAATTGGTGGTAATGCATTATATGACATAGCGTTTATTGTTCTTCTTACCATAATTGTCTGAATCGATTTCTCGATTGTTATGTTTTGTCTGAAACATATAGATGATTTGAAGTTAATGTCCTTTTGTCTCCTTAGGTTTTTATTTTGTGATAATCTGACATGACTTGTTTCTCTGTAGAGGATTTTTATTTTAATTCTTAATTGTCTCTGATTTTTTTGTGAAACATATTCTGACTTTTTTTTTCTTTTTTTTTTTTGTATTTGCAGGACGGTTCACGAGCAGCCAAAGCCATCTCAAAAATTCGATGCGTACTACGAGGACTCGATTTCAAAACATACATCCTCTTCTTCACCCTTGTCCCCTTATTCATCTTCGGAGTCTACCTACACGGCCAAAAACTAACCTACTTCTTGAGACCACTCTGGCAATCACCACCTAAACCGTTCCAAACGCTTCCACATTACTACCACGAGAACGCCACCATGAAAACGCTCTGCAGTCTCCACGGCTGGAAACACCGCGACTCACCAAGACGCGTCTTCGACGCCGTCTTGTTCAGCAACGAGGTCGATATGCTCACCATCCGCTGGAAAGAACTTTCCCCTTACGTCACACAGTTCGTGATCCTCGAATCAAACTCTACTTTCACCGGTTTACCTAAACCGTTGGTTTTCGCCGCGAACCGGGAGAAATTCTTCAAGTTTGCCGAGCCGAGGCTGAGTTACGGCAACATTGGAGGGAGATTCAAGAGAGGTGAGAACCCTTTTGTTGAAGAAGCTTACCAGAGGATTGCGTTGGATCAGCTGATAAGACTAGCTGGGATTCAAGAAGACGATCTTTTGATAATGTCTGACGTGGACGAGATCCCTAGTGCACATACCATCAACCTCCTTAGATGGTGCGATGGTTACCCGCCGGTTCTTCATCTTCAGCTCAGAAATTATTTATACTCGTTTGAGTATTACGTGGACAGCAAAAGCTGGAGAGGTTCTGTGCATCGGTACAAGCCCGGGAAGACACGGTACGCTCATTTCCGACAAGGGGACACTCTTTTAGCGGACTCTGGTTGGCATTGCAGTTTCTGTTTCAGACGCATTAGTGAGTTTGTGTTCAAGATGAAAGCGTATAGTCACAATGATCGTGTTAGGTTCTCTCATTATCTGAATCCGAAAAGGATACAAGATGTGATATGTAGAGGGACTGATTTGTTTGACATGATTCCTGAAGAGTATACGTTCAGGGAAATCATCGGGAAGCTAGGACCGATACCTCGGTCTTATTCAGCTGTTCATCTACCAGCTCATTTGATTGAGAAAGCTGAGAGTTATAAGTACTTGTTACCTGGGAACTGCGTAAGGGAAAGTGGGTGATAAGGGTTTGTGCTTATCAGGCTTTGTAGTTGTTAGGTACTTATTATCAGTAGAGGGAGTGTTGGAAAACAGAGGATGGTACAGTTTATTGAAGGATATGGAGTCTTTGGTGATGGGTATAGAAACCTTGTGTTCTTATTAATACTGACTCATGTTCCCATGTTGTTCTGGGAATTTTTTGCTGGAATAGCCTCTCTCTTTTTCTCTTCAAAACTCTTCTCATACTCCTTCTTTATTAGTCTGTACAATTTACTAGTGATTTATTTACATTATACTCATATTCTTTGTAATTTTTATTTTACTAAAAAAATCATTGTTTGATCTCCTCTTGATTCGTTTGTTGGTTGTTTTTAAACCTTTTCTCCCTCATAATGTCGTTAAAACTTAACCAAATAATTTGTAACATATAAATAAAAGGACATTTCTGTCTAAAAAAATCCCTTGGTTGCTGTAAATGCTGTAAATGTGTCTCACCAGCAATAAGTGTCCTATAATGTAAAGAAAGGGAAAAAAGTGTCGGATAATGCACTCTTATTGTATTCATGTTAAAAAAATTTATCGTTATCACTTATTCTTGAGAAACATAGCTTAATGTATTTAACAAAAAGATAGCTAATCACACCGCGTAAGAAGGTGATATTGCATAAAGCATATGTGAAGTAATAAATAAGTCAGAACTTTATCATTTCTGGTTTCTTTTCAAGCATGATAACCTTATCCCGAGCAAGATCACACAAGTCCCTGGAATTGCTGCGGATCTCTAGCTCTCCTCTAACAACTAGATGAGCATCTTGGCTCTGTAGAACGATTTTCAACATGATCCAGTTTTCTGCTGTTTCATCTTCTCCAAACAAGTCGGTTTTGAGCTCGGCATAATTCATCCTACATACGTGTACAAAATAAGTAAACGAGGGAGGCGTATGTAATTATGTACGTGTGTGTTAAAGATGCACATGCATGAAGTAACTAAGAGGTATATCATATATGACATTATTATTCTTTTTTTTTGGAATAAATGTAAAATTTTATTCAAGCAAAACCTTTTTTACATCAAGTGCATCAGTTTTCTTTGTATTTACAAAATAAATAAATAAATCTGATTTAAAATAAAAGAATTATCTAGTTCCTCCATTGGTTTCTTGTATCCCAATCCAAGTGATCAGACCTTCTTAAAGGTACTGCTTCCCCTTTCCTTTTACTGACAGCAACATGAGGTTGAGGGCCTCGAGGTAGTGTACGAGCAATTCCACGTAACAGATTGCATCTCCTTCTAGATCGACGTAGAACCTTGAATTGTGCCAAGGAGATAGTATGTGCCTCCATTTGTAATCGAAAATCTGTTTACTCATCAGATGACGTCGTCTTTGAGTTTGAACTACTTGGACAGCAAGGCAACGAGATCCGCCCAACTTGCTTCCTCCAAAACATCTTGAAGCCCTATTTCACCTTCACAAATGGACTTCATGCACTCCGAGATCTTCTCAGATATCTCTTTTCTTTTTAATGAAATCTTCTCCAATATCGCACCATCACCATTGAGCAACAACATAATTTCCGATAGAGACTTGACCGCCTTTATCTTCTGCACTGTGAGTCTTGCTTCACGGATCTCAAACACTTCCAGCTTCTTGACTAAAATCTTGGGAGACAAGACCAATTCCACTAGTACCTCTCCAAAGTCGCATGAACTTCGGATATTTCCTAAAATGAAAGGGGTCTTTTTTTATCAGATCCAACCCATCTAGGACTTATGGACGTACGGCCATCTCGGCCATCTCAGCAATAAGCTTTAAAGCAAGATCGTCTCAAATAAATTTTAGATGTTCAAAACAAAAAATTAATGATATATTTATGATTTAATGAACTTTTTTAAAAAAAATTAATAATTATATTCGATGTTTCTTTAACAATTATAAGTTGTAATCTAACAATATATCTAATTTTTTTTGAAAAAAAATTATTATAGTTTATCTATATATTTCTTAAAAATTCTTATTTTTTTCTTATTTTTTCTTTATTTTTTACATTTTTATATTTAGATCTATGTTCAACCGTTTCACTTACACATGATATTATACGGTCCTGTTTTAGAGCTACATGTACCCTAGGCAGCACTCTTTCATAGCGATCATAATTACTATCAAACAGAGAAACCAAAATTTACATGGATGCATATCGTAACGTAGGAGTCATGCCCTTGAGTTCTTCAAGGAGTGTCACAAAATCTTTACGACAATAGGAAAAGTTGCACAAAAATTCCTTAACCGTATCCTTTACTGTTCAAGAATAATAATTCTTCCATTAGAACAATAGAAAAATCACTCGAAAGGATGTTCGGAAGATCCCCGAACAAAGCCATTGAGTATGACATTTTTGATCTATTTGTTACAGGGCCATAACATGTGTAAGTGGAATGGTTGATCAGAATTCCAAGTATCAAATCGGTTTGGTTTGATATTTTGTTACACCCTAGTAGTAAACGTAGGTTTTCAATCTAATTGGCAGCGTTATTGCTTCTGTTTTTTTTAAGAAATTAGATTATACATTACTTTTGGAGTAAATCATACGTTTGAAACTTATAATTATTTTTGTAGCTTTAGCTTAGTACGAATTATTATACTATTTTCTTAAAAATTCATTACTACTTTATTTCTTCAACTTCTATTTGGCTTAATAATGTATACAGAAGGTTATGAAATAATATAGGATACTTGCTTATTACTCGCCCATGAAAATATGAAACGGAAGAATATACAAATACTGCATATAAAAAGGGCATAATTTTCAAAATTAAATTATTCGTTATTTTTAGAGTAAAAGTTATTCGTTATTTTTAGAGTTAATCATACCCTTTAAATCGTGTGTTTTCTTTAACTGTTTTTTTTTTTAATTGGCACATACTACAAAGGCTCTCTAAACTTAGGCTAAGTCCAGTGAAAAAGATATAAAGGACATCTAATCTATTAAAACTGAAGTACATTTAGTACTTAACCCTAATTTTTCCACAATAATTACCATCCAATGCCACTGGTGTAAGAAGCTGTCGTTTTGAACATTAACCAAACTTAAAATGATGTCTCTTTTACCGATTTAATTGGGTACTTAACCAAATGAACTTTAAAAAATTGTCGTTTTGCAAATTTCCTAAACAACCAAACTTAAATGACGTCCCCTTTCTCCGATTTCATTGGAAACTAAACAGAATGAACCAAAAATATGTCATTTTCCACAGCATGCATTGGTTTAATTTGATCTGCATAAACAAATCCAATAAACACAATGTTAATTTTACTACATTTAAAAACCTATTGTATAAATACTTAACCTCCTAATTTGATCCAATATATATATATATATCATGCTTATAAATCATGTAATAGACATTGTTTTACGATCATTGATTTGCTATCAAGTAATTTTTTGTCATCTAATTTTTTAATTTCATCTTTTATTTTATTTACTCGATTTTATGGTTTGATTAATTGTATGATTTTTATAATTATATATATATATATATATTATGATTGATAAGACATGTATAAAATGTTATTATTAGTTAGCATCAAAAAATATTATTATAATTAGTACTAGAGTTTTTACCCGCACGTTCGTGCGGATATATTTTTCATTTTTAAAAATTTATTTAATATTAATGTAAATATTTGAAATATATAATTTATATTTTTATGTTATATATTGTGTAAATTTATAATCTAATTGGTGTAGGTTTTTATTCAACATTATTAATATATAATATTCTTTAATTTTTTACTTTGAAATTTATAAAATAGAATATATTTCTTTCTTTGTTATTATAGTGAAATTTTAATTAATATTAATGTATAATAGTATGATATTATTAATTACGAAATTCATTTTTATGTTATTTAATAATAAAATATTTAAACTTTTAGTAAGATTTTGTTAGATTTTCTCTCAACCGATTCTGTTATAACTAAAAATAGAATGTAAATCTATTATTTTCAGCATATATGATATATATTTGATTGATTAACCTAAATAATTTAATATGTCATACTAAGTAATTAATGAAATGGTCCTATATGACTTCTTTGTAGTAGATAAAAATAGTGACTCTATTTTAATAGAGTAGATCATTAGATTTTTCAATGTGCAAATGAAACTAATAATGTACTCCCTCTGTTTCAATATAAGTGTCACTCTATAGCTATGCACACGGATTAAGGAAACAATTAATTTTACATATTTCTTATATAAAAACACAATTACCCACACATCTAACCATATTTTAACCAATAGAAAAACAAATTACAGAATAAAATTAATAAATTTTGCATTGAAAACCGAAAACGACACTTATTTTGTAACACAAAAAATTCTCTACAACGACGCTTAATATAAAACGGAGGGATTATTATTTTCCTAAACTCAATATCATTCCAAAAACTATTCCTACTTCCATGCAATCATCATAAATATAACAATATATCAAGCAACTAACACAAACAATCTAAATATGTGTTAATCTAAATATAAAGATATTATCGGATACTAATAATGTTGTGCATTCGAAACCAAAGTTTCTTTCCTATTTCAACGCAACCATCCTAACAAAAAAAAGGGTATCAATTAATTAACACAATCTCCATATTCTCTTATCAAAACTTCGAAAATACGTATTCTTTATCTTTAATAACGAATATTCTGATTTTTTTACTGTGATTTAGTTTAAGAGAAAATGTATTTAGACTAATTTAAAACCGTATATTCGCTTGGAATTTGCGCATATATAATAACTAACTATATTTTTTGTTAGTATTTCATATTTAACCTACCCTATAACAAGGCAGCTATATATATAGAGAGAGATATCTCATCTATCTTTCGTGAAACCATATCATTGTACGCTATCAAACCTAAACATGTCTAAGATGACTACTCTCACCCTGACTGCAAAACTCATACCTTTCAGATCCAATTGGGGGTTCAAGTTTAATGCATGCACTCATGGAAGCAAATAACATCTTTTGGAGGTTATACCTTCTAGAAGGTTTTAGTAGATCAATGGGTAACTATACTTTCTACATGTTTCTTGCATTCATGATAGTACTTTCTTTCACTGTTATCTAATGTCCCCGTGTTTAAGTTTTTTAGGGTAACAAGATCCATGCTTCTTGCAAAAAAACCCAAATGTACAGAGTTCGACGTGGGCTACCAACATGAGAATAGGGAGTCATTGAAAACGTTCGCATCTCTGCAGCTGGTGGTCAAGGTTATTAAAATCGTATAACTTTTTCTATATTGTTTTACTTTGGTTTCATCTTATGAATTACAGTAGATATAAATGTGATTACTAACCGTTTTGTGTTGTTTCTGTTCGGCAGAGTTGTTGTATTCATTTCTAGCTTGACACCTCAAACTTTTTCCTCAGAATGTCTGATATCATGCAAAACATTTAAAAATGTTATTATCATTATATCATAATTGTATAATATGATCAACAAATATATATTTTTCAAATTGTTTATTATAAACGTATGAGACAACTATATCCAATTAACTACATTTACTTTACCAAGCAATGTTAATTTGGTGATTTCTGAACACGGAAACTAGGTGGTTATACCATTTTTACCGAGCTTCTTCAACTAAGTAATCCCGAATTATCTTATTAACAATCGTCTATGAGCTTCGCTGGAGCTTATATATTAGGAGTTTCAATCTAAGGTACCTCTATATGTCGATTCTGAATATGAATATATCGAATCATATATATTTTTCAATCTTAAAATCACATAAAAATGAAAAGTTTACCTTTTACACAATTACTTAACAGAAACCGATAAAATTGGATATCTTTACCTGAAGCAGCAGCTCTACGTTTGCCAAGCTTGGATCTTCAAAGCTCCATCTGCATATCCACTTACATGTTCATTCGTTGCCAACTCAAGCTCCTTTGCTGCTTCCATCCTCTGTTTCTCAAACTCAATCATCAATTAAAGCAAATCAATTAAGCAAGATCGTGACTCAATAACACTTATACGCAAGATTTGTAGTTGTTTTTTTTTCTGTGATGATTTCAGGGTTTTGTTTTGTTACAATTAACTACGTCACCTGAGTCGTCCTGTCAAGATTCACGCATGACCAAATTTATTTACACTATGGTGAAGATTCTCTGTAAGTCTTTCTTTCGTCGAGTATTGAAACATGGGCCTCATGATAAAAAATTATTAATGAGCTATCATTCAAATCATTGGATTAATGGGCTTCTACAAAAAAGAGACACCCGCGCGGGTGCGCGGGTCAAAACCTAGTTATCTTATTGTAAAAAAAGAAGAATATCGAAAAACAAAATGATTCATGAGCTCCATGCGACGTCGTTTGTGGCAGTGATTTTAACGATTGGTAGTATTGACAACCATTTATTCTACTAGTAGTACCAGTGTGGTCTACCTGCTTACTATTTTGCTTGGAATACAAGACAGGGTTTTTAATCTTTAGAGAGTTCAGTGCTGGCATCACCCATTTAATTGAAAAATCCAATGGAGAGTTTGTAGTCTTTCTATATGCCATCAAGCTTGGCCTGAATCGTTAGTCTATGGATGCCGATGAGTCCAACTAAAATCTGAATTAATTGCAAAGCTCAGCTATTACGATCTTCATCTCTGACTGGATATCTTTAGCAACATTTGTACTGCGCCAGATTTCACAATTCAGAGTTTGGACATTTAAAATGGAAAAATTTACCTTAGCTACATAAAGTTTACACTAATATGGTAGAAATCATCCAATCTATAAAAATGTGTCAAGAATTACACGAAGTATATGTTAATACATGCCACATATACGAAGTAAATGATATTATGGTGGCAACATCACAATCGAGTTTAATTGATCTTAAGTTAAGTTAACAGGGTCAATCCGTAATTTATGAAACTTAACAAAATTAATTAATTTTAATTATTAAAGTTAATAAAATAATAAACATAATATTTTTTAAAAAATGTGATAAAATTAATAAAGATAATAAACATAATATTTTTAAAAAATTTGATAAAATTAATAAACATAATATTTTTTAAATAACTTAATAAATTATTAAACTTAATAAATTATTAAACTTAATAAAATTATTAAACTTCATAAACTTAATAAACTTAATAAACTTAATAACTTATAAACTTTATAAGTTATTAAACTTAATATACTTAGCAAACTTAATAAACACAATAATTTAATAAATTTATTAAATTATTAAACTTAATAAATTTATTAAATTATTTTGTTTATTAGTTTTAGAATTCTAGCTTATTAAACATAATAATTTTTAAAAACTTAATAAACTTTATAAACTTAATAAGATTTATTAAACTTAATAAGATGTATTAAACTTAATAAATCATTAAGCTTATTAAGTTTGTTAAGTATATTAAGTTTAATAACTTATTAAGTTTATAAGTTATTAAGTTTGTTAAGTTTATTAATTTTATGAAGTTTAATAAATTTATTAAGTTTAATGAATTTATTAAGTTTAACAAAAAATATTAAGTTTATTAATTTTATTAAGTTTAAAAAAATATTATGTTATTAAGTTTATTAATTTTATTAAATTTAATAATTAAAATCAATTAAGTTTATTAGTTTCATATATTATGGATTGACCCCATTAACTTAGCTTAAGAACAATTAAATCCGATTGTGATGTTGCCACCATAATATCATTTACTTCGTATATGTGGCATGTATTAACATATACTTCATGTAGTTCTTGACACATTTTTATAGATTGGATGATTTTTACCATATTAGTGTAAACTTTGTGTAGCCAAGGAAAAATTTTCCCATTTAAAATCAGCAGCAAGCCCTGATTGTTATTGTATCTGTTAGACAACTGTACGCATGATTTAAACAATGATAGTAACACAAACTAACCCTTTCACTGCCAAAGGCAAGGCTGAGAGCAATGCAGATAGAGCAACTTCAGCTGTGATGCAACTGAGATTGTAACATAATGTTCAATATATACATTGAAAGATATCTCACGGATTCTGGTACATGACAACGAGTATTCATTCAACTAAGTGTTGTATCCACACCATTATTGAATACATCCAATCTCAATGCAAGTGAGAAGGAAGACTCGTCACCTCCAGTGGACTCAAGATTGTAAAGAGAAGAGCAAATTAAGAGAGCTGGGATGATGGTGTAAAGCATACACGAACGGTGCAATGTTTCTTATGGTATGTAATTTTCACCTGTCTACAAGATTGTTCCAATAGACACAAGCGACTTTGTTGTAAACTTGTAAATATATGGTGACTCCGCCATTTCGATAAGTGTCAGATACACAAATGGAACACAAAAGTTAAAATGAAATTCTGAAGCGAAAGTTTCAAACACATAGAAAAAGGTTTTGAGGAAATAGTAAAATCACAAATGAAACACCAATGTAAATTTGAAAGATGTGCTCGAAAGAAGAGATCCGACATGGGAGATGAGAGACTATACAAAATGTCATGGGAGACACACACAGCTAACGACCACCAAACCAACCTCTTGGCGGTTGCTGCTGCTGCTGCTGTTGCATCACACCTCCATTCATCAGCTTGTCTAGAACAGTATTGAGGTCCACGGCTTGACCGTTCTCAGTCAATGACCTCACTGTTCCTCTCACTTGGTCTCTTGGGAACCCCATGCTACTCACTTTGTCTATCACATCGTCCACTGGGACATTACTTCCGGATCTTGGTGAACCGGAGCCGCCGCCACTTCCACCGCTGCTGATAGCTGTAGCCATTGGTAAAGCTTGTGGCAGTGGGCGAGCCATAGGGATTTGCGGATAACCAGATCCGCCTCCTCCTCCACTCTGATGTGATGGTTTCAGGGACTGGTTGTTTCCAAACTGTGAAGAGGGTGGCGTGGAATAGGGGTAAGGTTCAGGAGAGTACCCTGAAGGGAAACCTGAGCTGGATCTACCACCTGGTCCATCGTACATAGATGGTGGCGTTGGAGGACCACTGTAGTACTGTTGAGATGGGGCGGGAGCAGGAGGTTGCTGAGAAGGTGGTTGACGAGGAGGGTTTGACGAGTAAGATTGCACAGGGTAAGGTGGCTCCTCTGGGTTGTAGCCTGACGACGGTTGCTGTTGGGGGTACTGTGGCTGTTGAGGAGGTGGCTGGTAAGGGGGTTGATGAAGTGACTGGTTTTGAGGAGGAGGTGGAGGTTGATAAGGAGGAAGGTTCGTTGGAGGTGGCTGGGACTGAGGAGGCTGAGGGAAATAAGGCTCCTGTTGGGGAGGAAACTGGCTGGGAAGCTGAGGCAGCTGTGATGAAGGTGCAGGGAGAGTGTGCTGTTGGATAAATTGTTGAGGTGGGAGGCTCTGCTGAGTAAGAGAAGGGGGAGCTGCAGCAGAAGCTGGTGGCTGAGGCAGTGCTGCTGGAGGTTGAGCAGTGGGTTCAACATGTGTAGAGTGCTTATCGGAATGCTGGTCTACCTTTGATACCTGAAGCTTTGAAAGCTGAAGCTGAGCTTCAAGTATCTCTTGTTTGTCCTTCAACAAGAGTACACCGCTTTGCACCTGAATGCAAAATTACACAAACACTGAGTAATGTAGAAGCGCTGGTATATCAAAAAGTTTCAAAAGATTGCTTCTAGAATCATGCTATTAATCTACATTAGTTTGTCTGGTTATGTCTAAATTCACGACAGAGTCTGGTTCATGCTATTAATCTACATTAGTTTTTTTCACGACAGGGTCTGGTTACGTCTAAATTCAAACTAATCTCAAATACGTTTAAGTTTACCTCTAACATGATGTTCTCAAGCTGTCTCATCTTCCCATCAGTGTTTCCATGACTATTCCCAACAGAAACTTTCACATCATCCACCAGATTCTCAAGATTCCGGGTTCTGCTCTCCAGCTGTGTTAAACGCGCACTAACACCTTCCATGACATGCAGCAAGTTATCAGTATGTTTCTTCATCGCTTTATCAATCTCAGATATAATTGATGTCTCAGTATTAATCCGTTCCTTCTCAGCAAACAACTTCGATGGCTCAATAGAGTCAAGAGAACCATAACTCTGCTAAAAACATCAACAAACACATTAAGTACACGTGTCTTCAATATCCCAAATCAAGCAAAAAAAAAAAATTGAGTCTAATAAACTGTTGACCATACTGTAGCAAACAACTAAGACAGATAAGATAAGACCATGATTATCCCGGGATTCTTAGGACGGGTTTCTTATGGGAATATAAGAAATAATTCTTAACTTTTTTATATTCTCTTAAGAAATCCGCCCTAAGAACTCAAAATAATCATGCTCATGTATACATAATTCTAGTGAACCTTAGAACCGATTCCATTAAGACAAATACAGTAATAATTGTAAATAAACAGACAAGATGTGTATACATAACCAAATAGTAAAAAAATAATAACACAAGAGTGAAGTTTGAAGTGTTGAATCAATTCTAGTGAAACCTTAGAACCGATTCCATTAAGACAAAACATAATAATAATTGTAAATAAACAGACAAGATGTGTATACATAACCAAATAGTAAAAAAATAATAACACAAGAGTGAAGTTTGAAGTGTTGAATCAATTCTAGTGAAACCTTAGAACCGATTCCATTAAGACAAATACAGTAATAATTGTAAATAAACAGACAAGATGTGTATACATAACCAAGTAGTAAAAAAAATAACACAAGAGTGAAGTTTGAAGTGTTGAACCAATTCTAGTGAAACCTTAGAACTGATTCCATTAAGACAAAACATAATAATAATTGTAAATAAACAGACAAGATTAAATCAAATCACAAACACCGATGAGGTTGTAATAAACAGACAATAGTTTAGGAATATTTACTCTTGCGGATGAGGAAACGGGATGTAAATCAGACGCCGCCGCCCAAACCCTAGCCGCCGGGGAATTGACAGATCCGGCGAGATCTAAAGCGGAGTGTGACAATCCGACGGTGGAATTAGGTCGAATAGGCTGAAAATCGTAGCTTGGGACCATCGCTTCCTTCTTCGAGTCCAAACCATTATCGCCGCCGACACGCGATCTCTGATGATCGCCGTCGTTTGAATTGGTGTCGTTCATTAGATCCATTATCTGTTTATCGGAGAACGGAGTCGTGTTCATCGATCGAAGAGATTGAGATTAACTTTATTATATAAGAGTCTCCCTTTGATTTTTATATCATTATTCTTACTTCCTTATGGGAGAAGAATGTTATATCATGGGTCCATTAGTCATGGTAATTGGTAAAGCCCATTGGGCTTGGAGATTTTTAGTTAAATATCTTTGTACCGACAACAAGTCTCAAACAAGTCGATGTGGGGACATATAAGACGAATAACACTCAATGTTTAAATGTGGTATGTCAAGCTCATGGAATATAATATGATGAACTCGATGTAGGACATAAAGACGAAACCTCCATCAGGGCCGGTCCTCGGCCAAGCCTAATGAAACATTGGCCTTGGGTCCCTAAATTTTTTGAAAAAAGTTTCATGCATATAGGTCCTTAAAAATTTTTGTTAGGCCCCCAAATCCATAAAAAAAAATTTTTAAGGTGAAATTGTTAAAAATTGGCCTTAGGCCCCCTTATTTTCAGGGCCGGCCCTCCATGTGCTATATACATGTTACGTCAAGCTCATGTGAATAGTACAATAGAACCGCTCTAAACACAGGTGACAGGTATCAAGTGGGCAAATTCAATCTCCAAAACTTGAATATAGTATCTATCAATTCGATATGCATAAACTCAGCTATTACATGTATACACTTGACAAGTTTATTACGCTTTCCTTTTTAGTGGAAACGCCTAGTAGTTGCGGGAATCAACATACGGGACGTAGTCTACCACTAGTGACCACCTTATCATCGTCCTCTTCGTCTTCTCCAAGTAGCCGCTGGGAAAAGTCATCGGAGGATTCGGAAGGACCACAAAAGATTCCACCCCACCTTGGAAAGTAAATAAATGTGACAGAAATAGAAGCCACAAAAGTCATTACACCCATAAGCGAAATGCTTCTTTCCTTTCTAACATTATTTCCCGAAAACAACAAAAGCTGTGTCACCACCGCACCTACAGTTCCACCGCTTCCCGTCATTCCCGCCACCACTCCAAGAGATCTATCACCGGAAATTAAAAAGGTTAAATTTAGTTAAACTGAAATTAATAAACAAAAACCGATCAGTGATACTAACCTAGTGGAGACGAATGGTACGACGCCAAATATGAGACCAGAAGCAGCTTGAACGAATATAGAAAAAACCCACATAACAGCAATCGATCCCCAGAGCGAGTTAACTCGTCCGAGTAACACACACAACAACCCAGCCATCGATTGCACTATCCACAGCCCCCATAACCTCCCTCTCATCCCGAATCTCTTCCCAAGCAAATCCGAAACCATTCCTCCCGCAGGTCGCGATGCGACATTCGATATCGCGAAACTCGCCGCGATCGTTCCCGCCGCCTCTAGATTCACACCGAATCGCTCGTAGAAATATCCAGCGATCATGTTGTCCGTCGTGAGTTCAACCCCGAACGAGTAGCCGTACAGCAGCGCTAGAATCCACGCTCTATAATCTCCAAGTCCGTCCAAAAGTATTCGGACAAAACTAGAACGTTCTCCTTCTTCTACTACAAGAGTTCTGGTCTTGTTTTTGTTACCGTCGGGAGTGTCTTGTCCGTAGATGAGAACTAAGACAGCTGTTATCACCTGAAAAAGTTTAAGTAGTTCACACATTTTCTTTTAGTAATGTAGTTTTTCTTTTTTTGTAACACTTTTTAGTAATCTAGTTCAAGCAATTCAAATTTCAATTAAACAAAGACATATCTATTGTACAAAAGTGTTTTTTTTTTTGTTTGAATAAATTTAAAATTCACTCAAAAAAAGTTTTGTTTTTTGTTTGAATAAACATTCATAAAAAAAAAAAATTAGCACCTGAAAAACGGCGGGGAATACGAAGGACACGCGCCAAGAGACATCGCGTGGGAGGAATCCAGAGATGGTTGTGTAGAGAATAGGCATAAGGAGCTGAGAGATACCTGCACCAACGTTAGCCCAACCAGCCGAGACACCGTTCGCGAGACCAACAACGTTACCAGAGAACATAGATGACATCCAGTACTGATTAGCGACGAAGTTAGCCAGCGAGAAGCCGACAAAAAAACGGACGAGGATGAAGGAAGCGGGAGAAGAGACGAGCGCGGTGGAGAGGATGGCTGGAGCGGTGAGGAAAGAGAGGATCGCTGAGGAAGTTCTGTTAGGATTTGAATCCAACCTTGAGCTTATAGAATAACAATCTATCAAACGTATCTTTTATTAATGATGCAAAAGAGTTTCACAATAACAACTTCTGAGATCACAAGCTTAATAACTAAACACAACTAGTTTAATATTGCTCTTGATCTTTCTCTCTCTCGTTATTGTCTTGGTTTTTCGGATGATCATAATGCTTGACTACCATCTGTATTTATAGCTCCTTCCACCGACATTGGTTTCTCCTTTTTCCTCTGTTAAAAGTGAAAAGGAAACTAACTTGATTTTCCTTTTGTTGCAGGTCTTCTATCGTTGCAGAACTTATTCGTATGGGCCAGGAATTGGGCCTTTCCTTCACAATTCTCCACCTAAGGCCCATATTACTGTCCTTACCTTATGGCCCAACAACATTTATATTGTCTTCGGGAATATCGACGAACCGGGAGTGTTTCTTCTCCTTCCTCGAGTTACTCCGCAGAACATTCCAAAAATCGCCATTGAATTGCCACTGTCACACTCCTTGCCTCCTCGAAGCGGTGATAAAGTTTATCAGCGAATCCCTCCGCTGTAACTCCGTGTAGCTCGTACGCCGCTACCTCCTCATCACTCTTTCACGACTTCAATTTCTCTTGTTCAAGATCGACTTGATCTTCCACATCCGCAGTTCTCTCTCCTTCGGTCAACTACTTCTCCATGGTAAGAGATCCGTAATCCCTAAAAAACAAGCTCGCGAGTTCTTCTTTTATTTGGTGATTACGAAATCTGTGTCTTGCATGTTGTAGGTGATGGATGAACTGTTCAATCTCGCCGGATTTTTCATCACTCCGGTAAGATTCTCTGTCTTGAAATGGAAGTTTATTGATCTTATTTTGAGTATGACAGTGAGATGCGTTTCTTCAATGCGTCGGTTTTGAGTTATATGAACCCTTAGAAGCTTCCTCCATTGCTCATATATTTGTCTCCCTTCAGCTCTTGAT